AGTTAGTACCGGTCACTGACCCTATTTGGAGCGCTGTCAATCTAGTCAATCTACTCGGATCAGACAATCAGCTGTTCTAGTGTAAATATTGTGATTTTGTTTGTTAATAAATTAATTGTCTATTTATTTTAACCCTACTAACAGGAAATCAATTCCATTAATAAACCTCCAACTTAATGATTCTGGGAAGAATGAAAAGTTTGATGAAAAGTGTGGCTACAACTATTGGATAGAAAACAGTGGCTTGAGGAAGGTAGGCTATTCAGAGAGGTGAATAAGCTTATTTCCTTTTATTTTGGTGCGGGAAAAATCATCCCGTAACAACCAATCAGATTCAGGAAGTAGTCTCAGGGGGGATAAGTACACTTCAGTATGCGGACAACATTGCTCTGTTGGCGACTGGGAAAAAGGTGGAAGAAGGAATTAGGAAGGTGCAAGCTGCGATGGATAGATTGACTAAATGGCTTGAGAGAAACAACATGGACATATGACGGAAAAAACTAAAGTGATGCTGTTCTCCAAAGAGAACAGAAATTTTCCAAGAACAAATATAAGGGTGTCAGATAGGGAAATTGGATGGGTGGAGAAATACAAGTATTTTGGACTAATATTGAACAGAAAGCTGAAATGGAATGATCACGTGGAGTATGTTAGTGATAAGGCGAAGAAAGGTATCAATATTATGAAAGCAATCACAAGAACATGGTGGGCCGCAGACCCGAACATTTTGCTGAATATATATAAAGGACTACTTAGATCTGACGTTGATTATGGCTGTCAAGCCATGTATCACATGAGTAAGATGAATATGAATAGATTGGATCGCATCCAGTACCGTGCCCTGAAAGGGGTGACTGGCTGTATGAAGAGTACACCTATAATGGCGCTGTTATCCGAAGCGGCTGAAATACCACTGGGTAAACGAAGAAATCTTCTTAGTACAAGATGGTTTTGAAAGGGGATGAGGTTAACAAGAGGATAATCAACTTCTATGCGTTATACAACGAAGACCCTCCTTATTGGCGGACCAAGGGCGCTTCGGCGATTATGGAGAGAGCGGATTTTGTGCTTGCCCATATAGAAATATTAGAAAAATCGGATAATCTGCCTTGTTACGAAGAAGATATGAAAGCTCAAATGCGAAAAATAGAATGAGTTGATTCGAACATACAAAAGGATAGCCTAGATGCTCAAGTAAAACTGCAGGAAATTTTGGAGGAATATATAGATTATCAACATATCTACACAGATGCATCTTTGGACCCTATAACAGCACAGTGCGGAATTGGAGTTTTCAATAACACAAATAAATTTTCAATAATAGGAAAATGTCAGGATTCCACTAATATTTGCTCAGTACTTGTGCTGGCCATCTATGCAACCTTGAATACCTTGGAGAATGATGAAAGAAAGGTTGTCCTGATATCGGATTCCAAGAGTGCCATCGAGAAAATAGTCAGAGCTGGTATTCATAGAGCTTTAGATAGAAGCACGTTAAGAACTAGGAAAAAAATTCTAGAAATGCAGGATGGGGGTGTGGAAATTAAAATGATATGGGTACCTAGTCACTCAGGCATAACAGGAAATGGTAAGGCAGATGACCCTGCAAGAAGGGGCCGACAAGCTAACGTCTTTGTAAATAAAACATTACACTATGAGAATCTGGCCAGAATAACTAGAGAAGAAACATGGAGGGAATGGACTATGGAATATTCCAATAAGGGCAGAAATCATTGGAACCAGTATCACAAATTAGTGAAGGAACCTCTACGAATATCATGGTTCAGTTAAATAGAGAAAATAGATAGACAGAAAGCTAGTTTTTTTTGCAGAATGAGAACGGCACATTGCCTCATACTAAAACACCTTCATAAACTTGGTATGCAGGATAGTGATAATTGTGAATGTGGAGAAGTGGGTGATCTGAATCACGTACTATTGAACTGTGAGTTTAATAGAAACCTGACAGGCTGTATACAAATTTGATTGGAATGAAGGAGGGTCCGATTCAGATGGAAGAAATTTTGGCGAATCCATCTAGTTGGGAGGCTGCTGTGGTGATAGATTTTATTAAGAAGCATCATATAAGTATTTAAATAGATGCAGTGGATGTTTGACGCTTTTGGTGATATGCATGATTTTAGTCTTTGTTAATTTTTGCGAATTGAGTTTTGAATTGCATGATAGGTGTAATGTGTAATTGAAATTGAAAACTAATAGAAAAAGGTTTTCTTTTAGGTACTCAACGAATGCCCCAATTTCCCAGCTGAAGACGCCACAGCTAAAATTACCCATCTGATCCTATTTTGAAAACTAAAGTATCCGCTAAAAGAGTGGAATCCTGCTGTCTTGAGGATACAATTGTTATAATTCTAGCTGACTGTTGCCAGACGACAAGGGGCCATAAGAAACTGAGAAGAAGAAGAAGAAGATCATCGTCATAATTTTTTTTTTTTGGAAATTATACCTAAAGTAGTTTCTCATTCAAGATTTCATACCGGAACTACGTATTCGAATTTTAGTGAAACAGCCCATTACAAAAATAAGACGATGATTATTATTATTATTATTATTATGATAATGACGATAAATTCAAAAAGTGTGAATGTGAATGTGATGTGAATGTGTGTTTGGTTTTTACGAATAATAATAAATTACCAACCTTGCCATTTAAATTTCTCGGTGATGATCTAAGAATGTTTTCATAAACTTTAAAACTTGACAATATTTCATACAAAATTACTCAAAAACTTGAACAATTGACCTTTTGTATTTCCTTATTGAGATTCTCTCTCTTCATTTATATGTTTTCTGCACAGCAGAAAATAAATAAAAACGAAATAGCTTTATCATTGAAAATTTTCAGTATACTAACGAATAACGAACGAACATTCTATTGTCCAACAGAAACTCATATGTTTATAAAATTATTAATTTTCTATGGGTTTTTGTTTGAAATTGAATATAATATTTGTTTTGTATGTGCTTTAACATAAAATGGAGCTTCCCGGAATTACATGAAAAATTTAATTTGACACACGTGGATATTTATTTTGTCAAAGCTTTATCAGTTCGAAAAAATTGAGCTATTTTCAATTTTTTTTTCTTCAATAAATTTTAATATAAATACCTATTCCACGACTTTGTCCTTTTCACCTTAGTAGTTATATCGCAATTATTATATTGTCTCAGGCCAAAGATAGAAAAGACAAGAAGAGCATACACAGAACCAAATATGGCTACGACGTTAACCTTTACACTTATATTTCCGGTGGGATCCGTTAAGGTAAAAGCCCATTATTGTCTAGTCTCGAATAATTCAATTGGCGAAGCTCATTTTTAATTCAATTTAATGCCAGCCCCAATCGACAAACAATGAAATAGGACTAAACCTTTTGATAGGTGTAAAAACCGTTGCGTTGTGTTTTTGTCCAAACAGTTTACATGCCATTGTTTGATGGACAATAGTCGGTTTGTATGCGAATGAATGAGAATAATAATTTCACTGAATTATGCGGTTGCAGTTTCGTAAATTTTGGTAGTATGTACGTACTTGTCATAGGCAGATTGATGAAACGGTATTTAGAGGCTCAAAACATAATAACGTATGAAAGGAATAAAGTTTTACCGGTTACAACAACCGAAAAGCGTGAAAATTGAAAATGGAGAGAAAGTTGAGGAAAATTCGAGGATTAAAAATGTTGGTCTTGCGCGGGATTCGAACCCGCGTCTTCAGCATTACCGGTGCTACGCTCTAACTAACTAAGCCACCACGACCCTATAGATATATATATTTTTTTGTTGTTGTTTGTTCTCTGATTTTCTCCGCTCATTCACATCAGCAACAAGCTTTGGAAGAACTTCATCAAATTAACATAACTTTACAGCACTTTCAATGGATATTCGGAAAATCAGAATAAATTTGATGAGGATTAGATTACAACCTCGCTGCTGCTTCTGTTTATCAAAGAATCTATAACCATTTTGGGCATAGCCAATAAAAATGTATTCTTGACTTCCTGGATCCAATTTCTCAAGATGTCTAAATATTTTAGTACAAGCTTGACAACCTCCTCCTTCTTCTGAGTGAACACTTCCCAGGTAGTAAACCAACAAACAGAAGTGAGGGAACCCCAGACGGCCCATTAGGGAGGACTGAGAAACAGCAAGAACGGTACCTACTCACTAATAAACTGCTTGAATGGGCATTAAATACATTCTAACTGCTTAAATCCCCAGGAGTGGACGAGATTTTTCCAGCACTCTTACGAAGGAAAAAAACAGACATCATGCCGCACCTTGTAGATATAACCAGAAGCAGTCTGACGATGAAGAAGGGCAAAAGTCACTGTCAGCCCAAAGGCAGGCAAGAAGAATGGGATAGACCCCGAATCCTTCAGACCAATAAGCCTCACATCGTTCCTTCTAAAGACGATGGAAAAGGCAGTAGATAACTATATCAAGTCCACTACATTGGAAAGGTGGCCTTCGAACGCAAGTTAGCACGCTCACAGAGAAGGCAAGTCCACTGACACAGCTCTGTTTCAACTGACGAGCATGATACAAGAAATTCTAGACATCGCTCTGGGGCCTTTGACAACACATATAAAATTTTCTATAACACAATTTGTGTAACCGCAACTGCTGACACAAATTTAGTTTGTGTTAAAAATAATAACTATTTCTTCATTGCTCAAATAAATAATCTTAAGGTTAAGTAGAGTAGCCTTTGGTTAAACTTCGCCTATGTACTCAATTATGTGCAAATAAAGTCATTTATTATTATTGTTATTATTATTATTATTATTATTTTTTTTTTTTTTTTTTTTTTATTATTTTTTTTTCACCTTTAGAGGGATGGATTCGAGTCGTAACCGGGCCGAAGTCAAGGTTACGTCTCGTGCAGCACATAACGCCGCACTATATGACATGTTCCAAGCACCACCGGTCTTTGCATTAGTCCGGCCAGTTCTCAGCCTAGGTCAAGTTTTTCTAGATTTTTAACAAGTCGTCTTTCTACTAAACCTGTGGCAGACTTCGATTTTCTTGAGATCGTAGATTCTTTTCAATTCGTATAACAAATCTTGGTACTTGGTGACTTTCGCTGTGTAGGCGTTTATTATGTTGCTGTCTGCTGGTACTGCAAAGTCAATGACAAATGCATATTTCCCTGTTTTGTTAATGTAAAGAATGTCTGGTTTGTTGTGAAGGATTTGCTTATCAGTTACGATCAGCGTGTCCCAGTAGATTTTTGTTGACTCATTTTCGATGACAGAGCTAGGGTTGTACTTGTAATACGGAGGAATTTCCTTGATTAGATGGCTCTTGTGACAAAGATGACTATGTACGATTTTCGCTACGTCATTATGCCTGTTCAAATACTCTTTTGGAGCAATTACACTACATGCGGTGGTAATATGTTGTATTGTTTCAGGCTTCAGGTTGCATACTCTACACAAGTCTGTTGCGATGGCTTGTTTCATCACGTGGCGTACATAGTACCTTGTCGCTACAACCAGGTCTTGTACCGCATTTATTGCCCCTTCAGTTTCTCGATTAAGCCAAGCCTTTTGAAGATAGAGGCACGAGGCTTCTTTGTCGATCTCGTTACTACGTAGAGCTGCTGCAAATCTGCCGTGTATTTCTTTCGATAGCCATTCTTGTATCATCTCTTCCTCATGGTTTATTATCTGGGGTTCCGCTGCATGTGCTAAATTGAGAGGGCTGAAGTTTTTGTCGGCACGAATGATTGCGGCGTGAACAGATAAGTTGGAGTTTCTGAAATATTTTATAAAGTTTTCTTTTTGTTTCAGGTGACTCGTCTTCAGAGAACAGCCCGCGTCCACCATTCGTCCTGGAGATGTACAATCTAGCAGTAGAAGATATGGGGTGGTGACTACGGTACGAGATAAGTAGACTTCGGACTAATCGGTCTATTTTTTTCAGATCAGTATCAGACCAGTTGAGGACTCCAAAAGTGAATTTTACAAAAGGTATAGCCCAGGTGTTTATCGCAGTGAAGGTGTTTTTTGCATTTAAATTAGTTTTTAGTGAGAGCTGTATTCTTTTCTTTAGCTGCTGTATGATGTTTTCATTCATGTTTGATGCTTTTATATTCAGCGCTTGCTGGAAACCCAGATACTTGTAAGTTTCATTTGTTGCCGCAGGTGCCTAATCTCGGTACCATCCATGAGCTTAAGAGCATCTCCCGCTTCCGGTTTTTGACATGTAAGACAGCACATTTGTCCAGTCCAAATTCCATCTTTATGGTATTGCTGAAATTTGACACTAATTATTATTATTATTACCATTATTCAAATGTTGTCTCGGATTCAACCGGTTTCTCCCTAGGCAGACGGGTGGGTACCAAGTCTATCAGTGAAATTACTACCTACTTGAAGAAAGTTTGGGCTATATTGCATGTTTTTAATATTATGGCTTTCTGTATGTACTCATGTATGACTGTATCTAGCTGCAGATGTTTTAGATGTTGAGTGAATGCTTTATGTGTTATGCCTGTTGCGGACATTATAAATGGTATTATGTGGACTTTTTTCTGTTTCCAAATTCTTTCAACTTCCATTGCCAAGGGCGTATATTTTTCAATTTTTTCTCCGTACTTTTTGCTGATGTTCTTATCTGTAGGTATTGCTATGTCTATTAGATATGTGTTTTGATTCACCATATCTATCAGAGTGAGATCTGGTCTGTTATGCTGTACAGTTTTGTCCGTGCGTATATCTATGTCGTAGTAGAGTTTGAAACTCTTGTTTTCAAGTATACTGTCTGGCGTGTAGTGGTAATATGGTGTTTCTGTGGTGATTAGGCCATATTTATGGGCCAATGCTTGATGTATTACTTTAGCTGCAATGTTGTGTCTATCTGTGTATGACGTGCCTGACAGTATTTTACATCCTCCTACTACATGATCAATAGTTTCCTGGTGTTGGTGGCATTTTCTGCATAAATCGCTTATCTCTGTATTTTTCAGTATATACTTCTGGTAGTTCCTGGTGGCTATCACCTGATCCTGTATGGCGAGTATAAAGCCTTCTGTTTCTGGGTAGAGTTGTCCTTTCTGTAGCCATCTATATGATTCTTGTTTTTGAATCTGTTCGTTGTTCATGATGTACAAGTGTTTTCCGTGTAGCTTCTTTTGTGACCATTCCTCCATTCTCTGTTGTTGTGTTTGTATTTGTTGTGATTGTGTTTCAGACTGAGAGAGGTTAAGTGGTGTATATTCTTTATCTGCTTGCACGACTGCTGAGTGTAATGAAGTTTGCTTGCTGTGGAAATATTCTCTGAGGGTTTGTATCTGCTTTGCATGGAGTACATGAATGTCTACTAGCCTTCTCCCGCCTTCTTTCCTGCTTATTGTGATTCTCTCTTTACATGAGTTTGGGTGTAGTTTCCTATTCCTCGTCAGCTCAGATCGTATGAGGATGTTTATGTTTTCCAGGTCTGTTTTTGTCCATTTAATTATTCCGAAAGAATATGCAAGTAGCGGGATGGCAAACGTGTTGATAGCTTTGAACAGATTCCTTGAGTTTAATTTTGTATTTAATATTAGAGTTAAACGATTCTTGAAATCCTTAGTTAGTTGTTTTTTTTATGGTCATGTGATCTATTCTTGTGTTCTGTTGATATCCCAGATATTTATATGTTTCATCAATTTGCATGTTATCAAGCTTTTCATTGTTTAGTGTTTCTGTGTCGACTTCGTCCTTCCATTTACCCCTTTCTATATGTGATGTTTTGCATTTGCTGATTCCGAATTCCATTCCGATGTCTGTTGTAACTTTCTCCGTTATTCTCAGTAATCCCTTCATTTGTTTCTGTGTTGGTGCATATATTTTGATGTCGTCCATATAAAGCCGATGGTTGATTCTGTGTTTTACTCTGCTTTGGTGTTTAATCTGGAAGCCGCATTTTGTGTTATTCAGTGTGTTGGAGAGTGGATTGAGGCTCAGACAGAACAAAAGTGCACTCAGAGAGTCTCTTTGGAAGATTCCCTTTTTTATATTAATGTTGTCTGTTTTTAGTTGTTCAGTTCCTGTTGTTAAATATATGTTTGTTCTCCAGGTGTTCATGATGGCTGACAAGAAGTTTCTTATAACTGGATGTATTTTATAAATTTGTAGCACCTTGTTTAACCATGAATGTGGTACGCTTGAGTCGAACGCTTTTTTGTAATCTATGTAACATGCTATAAGATTTCTTTGTTGCTTTTCTGTTTGTTTCATTATTATGGAGTCTATAATTAGTTGTTCCTTACAACCTTGACTGTTTTTTTTGCAATCCTTTTGTTCTTCTTCATTATATTATATTTTTGAAGGTGTTGTTCTATTTTTTTTACATATCACCGATGTAATTATTTTATAGAGGGTCGGTAAACATGTTATTGGTCGATAATTAGCCGGGTTTTCTGTGTCATGGTTTTTCGGTTTTATGTATGTTTTCCCTTGCGTTAGGAATTGTGGAAATACTTGTGGGTGCTCTATTAATATATTTATTTGTTTCGTTAAGTATTTATGTGTTGATGTGAATCTTTTGTACCAAAAGTTTTGTATTTGGTCTGTTCCTGGGCATTTCCAGTTATGTATGCTGTTAATTATGTTTACCAATTCTTCTATTGTTACTTCGAATTCTGCTTGTTCTTTGGTGTCTTTGTGTCTGTCCTCTTCTTCTTTAATCCATGTCGCTGTGTGATTGTGTTGCGCAGGCTCTGACCATATTCCTTCCCAATATTGTGTTACTTTTTCTCTGCATGGTGGTATTATTCTAATTTCCTCTGGGTTGGTCATTCTTGTGTAGAATAGCTTTTCGTTTGAGTTGAAGAGTGCGTTATCCATTTTCCTTTTATTGGACTCCTTATATCTACGTAGGCGTGCTGAGTATACTATAAGTTTTTGTTTAAGTGTGTCAATTATTTCTATGATTGTTTGCTCTTTACATACAACGAAAGCGTTATGGTTTCAAAGTGTTTCAATATCTTCTTTGACTTGTTTCCATTTATGTATTGTGTTAGTCTTCCTATGTCTGCCCTCAACCTTTCAATGTTGTTCTCAAGTCTTTTTTGCCAGCGTGGCGCATTCATTTTGTTTGAATTTTGGTGTGTGTTATTTATGGTTTTCCGTTTATTACATATTAGCACTGCTGATGCGGCTGCGTATATTACTGTATGAAATGTATGAATGTCTTCCAGTGTGCTAGTGTCGTCTATATATTTCGTGATTATTTCTTCGTTCATCGTATCTATTAGTTGTTGTTTGTGTGTTTTGCTTGGGCTTTAGCTTCGGTAGAATGTCCCTTGTGGTAAGGTTACTGTCTCTCCAATTGTTAAATTTTTTTCCATTTCCTCAATTAGTCTCTGTTTGGTATGGTTCATATTTTGTGGTATGTTGATACCCGCAGTCTATCGATAGTCAAATGAGACAGTAAAAAAAATAATATTCCTTTGACCGTCGGCGTTTTCTTTATGAAGCACCGGCGGAGTAAAGGAAATTTATTAAAACAGTTTTATATAAAATAAAACATGAGGCACTATACAATTCAAATAGGAATCAAATTTATAAAAAGTATCTACTGCACTGTCTTTCCAGACGAAACTGATTCGCAAACGGCGGCCGCTACAAAGAAATATGCCACCAAAGAAGCCGCCTCTTCAAAGAAATACGCGGCTAAAAATTTTAACCAATAAGATATTCCTGGAGTCAACGTTGACTGTATAAAACAACCAATAAGATGCGTTGTTCGCAAGTGGATTCGCATCCAATGTATACGGGCAGGCTCAATATATTTTTCCTAATAATAGTATAATAATTTTAACGGGCAATACGATAATTTGAGGAGACCCCAATTTTTGCCTTGTTTCATTTGGGAAACGATAGACTATAACTGTAATAGCGTTATATGTAGATGATTTTTTTATTTTTTCGGATGACTTAGAAGAAATTGCATTTCTTGAGAACAATTTAAGTTCAAAATTCAAAATTAAAAATCTTGGAGAAGCCAAAAATTGTTTAGGAATAAGGATCATTAAAGACTACAATAAAATTTTTATAACTATGATCAAAAGGACTATATTAGTGAATTACTAACGCGTTTTGGTATGAAAGATTGCAAAACAGTTAGCACTCCATTAGATAGTAGTACCAGTTTGAGCAACGTCGAGGGTGAAACTTGTAACCTGATTTACTGTATAGAGAATTAATTGAAATCCTCATGTACTTGGCAGTAATGACTCGTCCCGACATTGCTTATGCTGTGAGCTTACTCAGTCAGTATAACAATTGCTATAGTTGTATTCCTTTCACACCTAGGAGGAGCTCCGGAACAGCTCCGGGGCATTACGCGCCTTTTTGAAATCGGGGTCAACTAATACCGAAGCGAGTAGCTCCAGTGTTCCAAACTCTTGAAAGGAATAGGTACAACCTATATACTGAGGTGCATTGGCTATCAGCAAGAAGATTTTTAAGGTACC